AAGTCCTAGCCACAGCAATCAGAAAACAAAAAGAAACAAAAGGCATCCAAATCAGTAACAAAGCAAAACTTCCACTACTTGCAGATGACGTGATACTATATATAGAAACCCCTAAAGACTCCACCAAAAAACGGCTAGAACCGATGAACAAATTCAGTAGTCACAAGATACAAAAATCAATGTACAGAAATCTTCTGTTGTATTTCTATACACTGAATAATGAAGCAGTGGAAAGAGAAACTAAGAAAACGATCCAATTTACAATTGCGCTAAAAAGAAGATACCTAGGAATAAACCTAATCAAAGAGGTATAAGACCTATACTCTGAGAACTATAAAACACTGAGGAAAGAAATTGAAGATGACACAAAGAAATGGAAAGACTTTCCATACTCATGGATTGGAAGGCTGTTAAAATGTCTATATTACCCAAAGCAATCTACACATTTAATGCAATCCCTATCAAAATACCAACAACATTTTTAACTGAACTAGAGCAAATAATCCTGAAATGTGTATGGAACCACAAAAGACCCCGAGTAGCCAAAGCAATCTTGAAAAAGAAAAGCAAAGCTTGGGGCACCTGGGTGGCTCAGTTGGTAAAGGATCCAACTCTTGATTTTGGCTCATGTCATAATTTCATGGTTCGGTTCATGGGATCGAACCCTGTGTTGCCCTGCACTGTGACTATTGGTGCACAGCCTGCTTGGGATCCTCTCTCTCTCTGCCCCTCACCCACTCGTTCTCCCTCTCTCTTTCTCTCTGTCTCTCTCTCTCAAAAATAAATAAACTTAAAAATTTTTTAATTTTTTTTTTCAACGTTTATTTATTTTTGGGACAGAGAGAGACAGAGCATGAACAGGGGAGGAGCAGAGAGAGAGGGAGACACAGAATCGGAAACAGGCTCCAGGCTCTGAGCCATCAGCCCAGAGCCCGACGCGGGGCTCGAACTCACGGACCGCGAGATCGTGACCTGGCTGAAGTCGGACGCTTAACCGACTGCGCCACCCAGGCGCCCCTAAACTTAAAAATTTTTTAATAAATAAATAAATAAAATGGAAGAGTGGAAGAGAAGACAATGAGCTTAAAAAGGGATAAATTATTTGCAGCAAAATTGAACAATTTCACAAATGGTTACTAAGGCATTCTAGAAGATTATAGTCATCAACAGGTAGATAGCAACAGTCTCCTGTGATTTGCACGCTTTGAAGAGAGAAGCAGGGGAGTTCCCACAGCTATAATTGCTCTAACCACTCTGTCTGAGCATGTTGGCAATTAAATTTAGAGGCATTTCAGCTCAAACTGGCTAAAAAACAAGTAAATCGTTCAAATAAATAAAAGGTTCAACTACTGTATTAGTACATTATATTTGGATAAATGTTATGATATAAAGGATAGATCTTGATGATATTATTTCTTCAAACTCATGATTTGATTACATTCATTCATTTATTCATTCAACAAACTGAGTCCTTAAGATGTGCACACACTGTGCTAGAAACAAACACAATTAAGAACAGTCCCTGCCAGCAAGGCACTTAACCTAGTTAGAGAGCCAGGCACATAAATGGCAACTTAGGAAAACAATGTGGGACATGGAATGATAGACAGGTACACAGGGTACAGAAAGATAAGAAAAGACACCCGATATAGTATGGAGCAGGAAGGAAGGAAGAGGAAAGAAAGAGACCAAGAAAGGCTTCTAGAACACAGTGGTACCTGAACAGAATATTACCAAGTCTAGCTACTCCTCCTATAAACCTCATAGATTATGAATAATGTATTTTCTATTCCTCTTTTAGCCAAGTTCTAAAGGCTGTGAATTCAAGAGATGAGAACTAGAAATAACGGGATAATGTAGGAAGGCAGGCATATTTTCTACAGAAATAATGAGGCCTCCGCAAGCAAGCAGGAGAGGTAACATGTAGCTTTATAGAGGTGTTGCAGGGTTTAAAGCCTCTGCAACGTTTGTGCATTATAGCAGGAGTAAGGCTGCTTAGGCGTCTGATCAAAGACATATTGGGGCACCAGTAAATAAATACCACTGCCATGAAATGATATGGTGATGTTTCGGTGGCATTCTGTTCTTCAGACTTTCCAGGACTAAAGAGCTTCTGCAATCGCTCACATAGCTACAGTGTATATTACATTTAGAATCAGAAAGTGGGCGCTAGAAAAAAAGTCAAGATCAGCATGTAGAACCTTTAATTCACAGAGGAGGAATCTGCAAGGAAACCTGCATGCCTGAGGTCATTAGGCTACTACTGAGATGAGACCAGGATGCAGGTCTAGGTCATTTATTTATTCATTAAAAAAATTAAATGAAATCTAAGTGCCCAGGCTATTTGCTAGGTACAGAGTAAGAAACTTATACTCATCGATACGTCCCTACTCTCTCCCACCCAACCTCCTACCACAAATATCATACAGCTTCACTCAGAAATACTTTCGATGTCTTCAAAATATAAATACTTTTAATCATTCCTTAATTTGCTAAATACCATCAAATATCCAGTTAATATTGGAAGTGCTAGTCATCAAAATGAGTTTTTATGATTATTTATGCAAATTGGATCCAAATTAGATAGAAAACATTGTACAATAAAAGTTTCTTTGTTATCATTATTTGTTGAGAAAATAAGGTCTTTAGCTAGTAGAATTCTCCAGTCTAGATTTTGCTGATGGTGACCTTAGTTTTCATTGAACATGTACCTCTACCTTTCAATTTTTTTTTTTTAACTTCCATAAACTAGTACTTAGATCTAGTAGCTTGATCACATTCAGGTTCAATTTTTTGACAACAATACTTCACAGGTGGCTCTACGTACTTGCTATCATATTATCTCAGGAGGCATGTAATTAATGTCTGGTTGTCTTTCTGTGATGTTACGATTAATCAGCAGGTGTTGCCAGACTGATCCATCCATTCTAAAATTCCAAGGTGCTATGTTAGATAGATTGTTCAGACGAGGCCTTTCTGAGGAAGTGACTTTTAAGCTGTGACTTAAAAGATGAAAAGGAGCCAGTTGTGCAGAGTAAAGGGGAGTGTAGCAGCTGGAGGCCCTGAGATGAGAAAGAGCTTGCCATATACCTAGTCACCCCCTCAGGATCGGCGGAGCTTTTCTTTCTATTCTCCATTATTTCCAGTAGCCCCCCAATCTCCAAAAGGTGGAAGCAGAGAACCCTTGACTTATAGGTGTCAGGAACCCAGTGGCGCTTTCAGGTACAGGTGGCCCCAGGTACGTAATGTTGCTCTCCTGAAAATGCTTAGGAGCAGGACTATTTTGACTTAGACTCAGAGACCTAGATGAGAAAACAACCTGGTTTCTCTCCTGACACAAACCAACCAGCCATTTTACTGAGCATGATGGCACAGCAGAGATGTGGTTCTTAGGGTACAACTGGGCACTAAAGAGGTAAGGATAGATTTTAACCAGTAATACTATTACAATAGGGAAAGTGTCCAGTTCAAATTTTACTTACCTTCCTTATACAGAGGTGACTAGGCCTTTCAAAGGGAAAATAAGGGAATAGGCAAGAGAATGAGGGGGTCTCAGTAGAGTCAGGGCAGTGATAAGTTACAAAAAGCTAGAAAGGGGGGCGCCTGGGTGGCGCAGTCGGTTAAGCGTCCGACTTCAGCCAGGTCACGATCTCGCGATCCGTGAGTTCGAGCCCCGCGTCGGGCTCTGGGCTGATGGCTCAGAGCCTGGAGCCTGTTTCCGATTCTGTGTCTCCCTCTCTCTCTCTGCCCCTCTCCCGTTCATGCTCTGTCTCTCTCTGTCCCAAAAATAAAATAAAACGTTGAAAAAAAAAATTAAAAAAAAAAAAAAAGCTAGAAAGGGAGATGATCCCTGTGAAACCCGTCTGGGTTTGCCAACTGACTTGTAGAAATTAGAGTAGCCTTCCTCTTTCCGCAGAAGCTGGCAGACAGGGTCAGACAGTCAAAATTTTTGACAACCTTGTGTTTTCTGAGGCAGCACTTTGAAGGGGGCTAGGTTTATCCTAGGGATATGGCCTTGAGCTGTTAGAAACTATGTTTGTTGAGGCCTTTGTAGGCCAAGGGTGACAAGCCTAGTCAAGAAGAGGGTTCAGAAGAACCCATCTAGAGTGTGGTCAGGGAGAAACTTCTTGTCAGTTGTTATAAATATCAAATGAGATATTGCCCTGAAAATGTTTGAAGAAATGTAACACATCAATATCAGTTGACACCTTAATTCATATAACCAATCCTATCCCTTCCCCTCCTTCAAAATGCTTATTGAAATTCTTCCCTACAACTATGTTCCAACTACTAAACATCCTGCCATTTGGTGATAACACCTATTCTATGTACTATGTGCTAGGTACTTTACCTACATCATAATATTTCCTTCAAACAGAAAAGTTAGGTACTTGACCAAGGTCACACGGCCAATGAGTGGCAGAGCCAAGAATCATACACAACTCCAGTGATTGTTACCCAGTTCCATTAAACAAGAAACTCCTTACATCTTTCAAACCGTTCAATTAAAAAGAAAATCTATATATTCTTAACACACTGGACATGTTCATTGTTCACAAGATTTTTTTGTAAGAATCTTATCATGCATGTGAGCTCTCGTTCATTCCAACAAGATTCTGAGATATTAAACGGCAAGGGTCAAGCTGTGCACCTTCTAGTTTATGAAGTATTTCTTCAGCACCGCTATGTATCGTAGCACCATATTTAAGCCATTGTCCTGAGAGAGCTAGGGAACGGGCTACAGAATAGTAAATGCTAACTGTACAATCCAGGAAAGAGATCAACAACGAGTCAGGACAGTTGGGGAAGGTTTCAGGGAAGATTAGAATTGAGCTCCATCTTGAGGATCAGCAGGATATTGGCCCTGAGAAAGAAAAGAAGGGCACTCCAGGGCAGAAGGTGGGAAGCAAGAGTAATAGAAGCTCATATATCTTTCAAAATCAGTATATACATCGTCACAGAGCTTGAGTGACCGACAATTGTGCATCCGCTGATATTACCGTAAAAGGAAGCTGTCTTGGAAGTTTAAGTGTCTGAAGTAGAAGCTGGTCGAGGAGCGGCGTACTGTGATTCACCAGCGATCCTGACGCCTCTGGCGCCCCTTAGCGGGACTCTACAGTCCCACTACCTGAAACCACAATTTAGATGCATAAGCATTAGCCTCTCTATAATGTTTCGCCAAACTCTATGATCAGTAGGGGGCGGGACGCGCACCTACCCGCCGCGCACGCGCGAAGCCCTTCTTTCCGCACAAAGACTGTGGGAGAAGGGGTCGGCGCAAGCGCTTTGAGCCTCTCAGAAAATAGGGTCATCATCACGGCTCCTGGCGCCAGGGAGGGCAGAGAGACGCAGGCGCTTGAGAAGGCGCGGGACTTATTTCACGCTAGGGGTGGCGATGACGTAATGACAGAGGAGGAGGTAGTCAAGGAACGGAAGCCGGGAGGGAAGTAGGGCGGAAGGGGAACAGGGCCGGGGTTGTGTTCGGAGCCTTGGCGGGGCTGGGGTTCCGATGTGGTCCCCGGAGCGGGAGGCCGAGGCCCCAGCCGGGGGAGACCCGGCGGGCCTACTGCCCCCCGAGTGGGAGGAGGATGAGGAGCGCATGTCCTTTCTGTTCTCCGCCTTCAAAAGGAGTCGCGAGGTGAACAGCACCGACTGGGACAGCAAGATGGGCTTCTGGGCTCCGTTGGTGCTGAGCCACAGCCGCCGCCAGGGGGTGGTGCGCCTGCGTCTGCGGGACTTGCAGGAGGCCTTTCAGCGCAAGGGCAGTGTCCCGCTGGGGCTGGCCACCGTGCTGCAGGACCTACTACGGTGAGGGCGGGCCCGGGCAAGGGGGCGGGGGTGGCTCCCTGAGGGTACCGCGCCCATGCCGGGGTCTGGCCCGCAGAAGCAGGTCTGTGTGTGTTCAGTGGGCGAAGGAGGACGAGAAGGAGGCTGTGTTAGGGGTGTGGAGGGAGAGGGAGACGGGCATCTGGCAAATTGGGGGTCCAGGATAGTGCGATTAGATTAGATCCAGACGGTGGGAGGAGAAACCTACCTGGCAGAAGTGACAATGACTTGTCTGGAGTGGAATCCCGTTGTGTAGTTATTTTGTAGGGGCTTCCAAATTTGAATTACCCTGGACAGAAGGTCTATGAGATAGGATTTACTGAACTAAGGAAGGCAGGACTAAGAAGAAGGCAGTCGTGGGGAAGAGGTCTGTGGGGGATCTTGTCAGCAGCCCCCAGCACAGGTCATGTGTCTGGCCTGTCTTGGCTTGTCCTTGGCACGGGCTGTTTGAAGCAGAGGACATAAAGGAGGTTGAGGGCTTCACCGAGTACCTTGGTGCTCTGAGAAGGGCCTGTAGGTGCTACCTGTGCGACAGGTGCAGGGTTTGGGAGATACCTGAGGCGATAGCATGGATATCTAAGGTACCTCACTTAATAGTATGCAGATACTTTGCATATCATCCCGTTTCATCTGACCTCCTCAGCAGTCCTGCAGGCGAGATGATAGAATTATCCTCAGCAGACAGAACAGGAGACTGAGACTGAGGTCGAGCGATTTACTCAGGTTTATACAGCTAGTTCGATGAAATGCCAGGACTGGACCCCTACTCTCCTGATTCTAAATAATTTGCACATCACATGGTGCATATACTGAGAGCAGCCTGGCTAGCGTAGTACCTCCTTCAATGAATGAAGAAGAAAGTCAGTTTTGATGTTGCTTTGAGTTTTCTGCACTTCCTGATTTATCTCCCCGGTACCTTTCCATTGGCTGACATTGGTGGGACGAGCCGTTTCTGAAACTTATTTTTTCTGAGAAAGCGTACTGTGCAAAGTTTGAGTTCCTGCCTGAAGCAGGATACGGAGGAGAACATAGCTTAAGTTGGTGAGGGACAAGAACAGTCTGGACTTCTTTATTGCGGTAGGACCTGTCCCTGCCTCTTCCCATCCAGAGACCTTTAAGACCTTGATATCTTCTCTCCCGGCTACTGGCACTCTGCTGACATTTCCTGGTGCTTGATGGGGTCTGGCATCCAGAGAATTTTTGAGGAAGATAACTCTCCATGGAAGCAGCATAACAGTAATTAACAGCTTTGCTTGAGGGCCAAGGGTTCTGGGCTCACACCCTGGCTGTACCACTTGCTAAATTAAGTACCCCTCTATTTAAAGCTTCAGTTTGACCAAGTATAAGATGGTGATGATATCTGTAGTTAGGTTTCTTGAGGATTTGAAATCCTATTCCTTATGTAGCCCGTTAGCATAGTGATTGGCCCATGGTAAGGGCTCAGTAAATGTAGCTGCTTATTACCAGTACCATAGAATGCTTAGGTCGTATCTCCACCCTAGCTCAGGAATAGCAGAAAACCTTTTCTCTGAACATCTTTGTGTATTTCCTCATGTCTTGCATTGACAGTAATCCATAACTGTTACTGTCATTTTATCATATTGAACTTCATTTGTAAACGAAGGTCTCAACATAGGCCTCATAGCCTGCTGTGCCTCTGCAGCCTTAGTGGAGCACTTGCCCTTTGGAGCCAAATTATAGTTCAGAGTTGGCCTCTCTCACCTCGGTCCCTCCATTTTCTCATGAACTAAAATGCCAAGGACGACATCCATCTCACAGAGTCGTCAATGGTGCTGACAGCTGGAGCAGAAACAATGCTGCTCATAATAGCTGGCACAGAGTAGGTACCTGATAATGGTATTTATGATGGTGATGATCAGATTTCTCTCTCGGGGGAAGAGGGTAGGTGGGGACTGGAACGGGACATTGCATCAAGCCTACTACGTGTCCTTTTCTTTCTTTGCCTGCAGCCGGGGGGAGCTGCAGCGGGAGTCAGACTTCATGGCCAGTGTAGACAGCAGCTGGATCTCCTGGGGGGTTGGAGTCTTCCTGCTGAAGCCCCTCAAGTGGACTCTTTCCAACATGCTAGGGGACAATAAGGTTCCTGCTGAAGAGGTGCTCGTGGCTGTGGAGCTGCTGAAGGTGGGTGCTCAGAAGGGAGAGGTGATGACCGGATCCTCCACGTTCCTGTGTCTATCCTTAGAAAAAGAGCATATCTTTTTTTACATGATGACAGAGTTGATAACTGACCTTTTGTAGCATTATTTAGTTGTTAGTTGGACTTGTGCATTTCAAGGGTAATACTCTGTCTAGGAATTGTCCATAACATATGGTTGATTATTTTCTGTGAATTAGTGATAAGCTAAAGTGTAGAAAATTCTTTGCCTTCTGTAGTTTACTGGCAAGTTTCTCAGGATTCCTGAGGACCTTGTGACTTCAGCTTTGCCTTCCCTTAAATCAGCAAACCAAGTTCAGATTTCCTCTTCTGTGACTACACCCTTTCCCCTTCCAGCTTACCGATGGCCTTAGTGATGGTCACTGAAGAGGCCACCAGGCCTGTGGTCCCTTCATGCCCTCTTGGTCGGTCAGCTTCCTCCTGGCCTGTCTTCCCTAGCCAGCCTACAGCACGCACCCAGCTTCTTGCGGCTCCCCTGGTCCACCCCAGAGACACCAGCACTTGTACTGCCTTAGACCAACCCCGCAGTCTGCCATCCCTGCCAGACAGAATCACGCTGTCACCAAGACTGGGGTCCCCTTCACAGTCCCCAGCTCCAGGAGGGCCCTCACAGCCACTCTTCAGCCCAGTTTACTAGTCCTTTCCCAGCCCGCACTCACGTGCCTTCCATTCTCCCCTTCTGTGACTCTGCTGACAGTTCATTGAGAAGGTAGGATCTCCTGTCAGGCCTTCAGCTTTCTGTCCTACATCCAGTTTACGGTCTTCTGAGCCTTTCTTTCTCCCTAAGCTCAGAGGATGAAGTGTCCATCCTCTCTTCCACGTGTGCTCTTGAGTCTGTCCCTACCCTGCTGTCCCCTTGTCCCATCAGCTAGCCTCTTGATCTGTACATTCTGTCTCCTATCTCCCTCTTCTTCCTCAGCCTCGAAACCCGCTCAGGTTTTTCCAATCACAGAATGACTCCTGTGTGGGACCCAGCCGCTGCCTAGTTAGTGCTGTGTCTCTCTCCTTCTTGACCAAGCTTTGTTGTCACCACTTCCTCACCTTCCACACGCTCTTTAATGCAGTGCACACCACTCCACCGAAACCGACTGAACACCGGGTAGCAGAAGTATGCTGTAGACAGTACTTACTTTTTTTTTTTCTTTAATATTTATTTATTTTGGGGAGACAGAGTGCAAGCGGGGGAGGGGCAGAGAGAGAGGGAGACACAGAATCCGAAGCCAGGTCCAGGCCCCGAGCTGTCAGCACAGAGCCCGACGCGGGGCATGAACTCACGAACCGTGAGATCATGATCTCGGCCAAAGTAGGACGCCCAACCAACTGATCCATGCAGGCGCCCCGACAGCACTTACTTTTGAAACTCACAGACCAAGCCCAACCTCGGGACCCTTGCATAGTCCCGGAGGCTTCCACACAGCTGGAGCCAGCTCTCGATCTTCATCCCTTACCCCAAGAGAGGCTCTGATTTCTTGTCACCTTGACAGACTCCCAACCCTCTCTGCCTCAGACTGAGGTGGGGATCTCCAGAATTTGCCACCTCTCCTTGTCTCTCACCATTGGACCGAGCAGCATGCTTCAAAGGAAGGGCTCTTCCTCCTTTCCCACCCACATGGTTATCCTCCCACCCAGCGCCCTGACCTCCAGGACTTAGCCAAGGCTACGCAGAAACCACAGGATGGTGTGCGTGGTTCTGGGCCAAGCTCCATTCCTCTTTGCAGGCTCTTACCTCAAGTGTTTTCCAATTGGAGTAAAGGGAGGTAGACCCATTTACCCCCACAGATGTGGTTTAGGATTCATAGTCTTTTGAGAGCAAAGGCAGAAAAGGGGGCAGGAATGGAATAAATAACCTAGATCTTCCAAGAACCAACAATACTTTTTAACCACAGTGCCGTTTAATCTTACTTAAGTAGAAAAATAAATCTAGCTCTGCACTGACCTGGTTCTGTTAAGTCTATGCCCAGTTTACATCACTAAATAGAGCACTCAACACTTAAGCTCATTCCGTGACATATATGGTAACTTCACTGTCTTTTCCTGGGGTGGAATCTTGGTGTTAATGTGTGAAACTGAAGGGTCTTATCTGGATATTTTTTTTAAAACAAAGTCTACTTCTGAGGTAAATTGATTTTTCCCAAGTCTGGCCACAGAAAGCCAATAACTTTTTATTTGATTTGAT